CTCACATGTATTCGTGGGTGCGATGTCGGAAGGGCACGGCTAAAAGATTACTGTTAGGGTTCTGAAGTGTCTAATCATAAGCAGACAGCTTAAGCTAACCTTGTAACGAGTAGCGTTGTTGTCGTGCTCGCATGGTGGGAACGGATACGGTTTGCAGCCAGCCTAAAAAATAGGGTTCTGAATTGAAGCAGCATCTTTTTAGAATGGTTCCTATACCTTTGAAGTGTAGTTGCCTCCGGTGACAACACCGTGTTTCACCCAGAACTTCCACGCCTGAATTGCGAAGCCTCCCTCACATCTGAAGGTAAACAGGTTAACCATTACGACAAGCCAGGGTGAAGCACCCAGTTGCCTTGTAACTTACCCACTACCGCACATGAATCCACAACAGGACAGAATGTCGTCCGCGGAGATGGTGAACTGTTCCTTACCATTTGAAGCAATGCAGATACGATCAGTCATCGCTTCAGCTGCTCCGAACGCCCAGCATGAACCTGAAATCGGAAGTAGATGAATAAATGACCGATCAAGGAACAAGCTCAATTTTGGGACAAGCCACTGCTTCAACCAGCGCTAGGAAGCACCATATCATTACCATGCTTTGGCTTTTGTGGAAACATATTGAACGACACAATGTCTCTGTTGTACTATGCAACAGTTACAATATCTCTATTCCTTCGGACCAGCTTATACCTACGCAACGAATCCTCGAGTAATGAAGTGTTATGCTGGCTGGTGAATCTGATTCTCCGACCGTATTTATGCTATCTTCTCTTATCTCTAAGAGTGAGGCACCGTTCATTTTTGTGTATTCTTTGTGTGTTGGACGGAGCGGCGGGAGTAGTGGGATGAAAAAGCTGTTGAAGCCCCTCCCCCCCCCTCCCCTCCAAGGAATATAATAAAATGGTGAGAAAGAAGCCACGCCGCTCCCTAAACCACCAGCGTATGGCCAGTTTAGACGAGGAGTCACATCCAGTAATTTTAGGTAGGAGGTCGTAGTTCTAGATTTTGGACGGCAGTCACATTTTCCAAGATGAGTTCCATCTTCTCAACGCAGTTTTAGGGTTTTGATAGACGGTGTGGGAGTGCCATTTGAGTACTTCATCAACGACATGCCCATACTATTCGATGGCAGTGGGTGGTAGTGGAGATGTTCTGTGTATTAGGTACCGGATATCTTAGTGTCGCTTTTCTGAGTTCAGGAAGTTTTGGGGCCGATTACTATGGAAAATCAATATCTCAGAAAGTCCTTTTTGCTCATTAATACTGCGAAATATGTTGCTTATTGTTTTCTATTGTTGGTTCACAATTTAACTTTCCCCCAATTTTTATACTTTTTTTTGAAAATTCCTGGGTCCAGTGTGCAAATTCGCATGTGTGTACCAAATGCTTCAAAATTCTTGCTGAGAGCTACAACTTCCGCCCACCAAACCAACATTGCATTTGTTGGAGGGAATACTACCATTTAAAATGCTCATCGGTTTTTCACAGTTTTCTCAAAAGACAGGAAGCCTGATGCCCGCAATCGTCGTCAAAAAAAGGATGGCGCTAATTAAATCAGTCGAGACGGGGCTGCACCAGTCTTGTGCTGAAATGGTAGGACACCTTAGCAGTGACTGATCGATGATGCACAAACGCTTTAACGACGTTGATTGCACAGGAATTTTCTAATAAATGTGCTCATCTGCTACTCACGTGTGCTCAAAAAGGGTGCGTTTTGACCCGCTGTGGCAAGAAAGACTCAGGGAAAAAGTGTCCAGTTGAGCTGGTAAGTTTTAACTTTTCCACCCTACAGTACAGACCTGTACTTCTTTTGTCCAGGCCTAACTTTTTAGCAAGTGAGAGGGATGATTTGTCAGATGATGTCAAAACCGACCTACCTCTCTTTTTCGACTCAAAAAATTCCTAGCTTTAATCGTACGAGGTTTCCACTCATACTGGTAAATGGGAAAGTGCTAATGAGTCATTCGATGAATATGCTGTTTCACTCCTGGATTTTGAAT